TTTGTAACACTTTTCACTTACAACAGGTGCGTTATCTCGTGAGATGCTGGCCCAAAATCTGTAAGATGCTTTCGATCCGAAAAGATTACTTAAGGAGGACTGAAGTATTAATTATCGTGTAACACAATCACAAGACATTTCAATCAAGTCAGGACACCAGCTTCTGAATGAGCTGCTTTTCAGCTGTCTGGAAAAGTTACACTCTGCAAAAGACGACCACTTATGTAGTACGAATTTTGCCTCTTCATGTTCGACGCCCTAATATAATATGTGGAAAACCTACGTAAATATATGCTCTCTTGTGCTGATTTGGTAGGCAATTATGTTTTCTTCAAATTTTCTACTTGAGGAGAATGTATCTCTCGGTTTTCAAAAGAAATTTTGAAGTCCCGAGTTTCGCTTTGCTCCACCTACCCGTACACTCGCATTCTGAGTTTCCAAACTACATGCTAGATACACTCCTTCAAATGGATATCATACATATTTCTACGCTATTAGGAAGACTTCATATGGGATTCATAAAATCGTAAAAATGGGGGTGGACCATGATGTAGACTTTATATATAGCCTTAATAAATACGCCGATGCGATGCTGTATGAATGGAGTATTAACAGTCATAGAAAATCTCATAATCAGAAACTGCTTGAATAGCAAAACATACTCTGTAGTCAAGTAGAAAATTTGGAGAATGCGCAATGTGCTACCAAATTCTTGTGTGTGTTTTCTTTATAATATGTTCGCGTTTACAAAGGCATTCAAAGCCAAGGGGAAACTGAACGCTTCCTAAGAAGCCATCATTAAGAAAGTGGAGTTTTTGCAAAAGTCTAAAAAGAGGCCGGCATCCCGGCTTGACTGGGATATTGGACGATAATCACTGTTACAGCCCTACTTAAATGACATTTGCATCGAGGACATCTTCGAATTTCCCCTAACATTTCACGAGCTAGCACATTTACTAACTCAGAACGGTATCCTTAGTAAAGGCAGGCTTTCGCCAACTTCACTGCAGCACTACAAAATTTCACGTGAGGCTTTCACTCACGTAAAAACTACAAGGGCTACATGAATTAAGACTGGCTACATAAATCGAGATCCCTTCTAAACTGTGAAAAAAGCAGAAACCAG